GTTGGATTCTTTGTGAATGTACAGTGGGTCGTTATTTGGTTTTCTGTAGGGCTTGTATGACTCATTAGTAAGATTAAGCGTAACATCGAGGAAGTTAACAGTTTTCTAGTTTACCTCGGCAGTGATCTTCAGTCTTCTTTTATTTTATATACATACATATATATATATATATATATATATATATATATATATATATATATATATATATAATAATTTAATATTTTAATACAATTTTTCAATTGAATAAGTTGCTACTTTAAAAGTAGCAACTTATTCAATTGAAAAATTGTATTAAAATATTAAATTATTATTATATGCTCTACAATTGTCTTGTATTGAGCACTCTTTATTCTTAAAAACGGGAAATTACTTTATGGAATTATATATATATATATATATATATATATATATATATATATATATATATATATATATATATATATATATATATATATATATATATATATATATATATAATACCTCACAATGAGCTTGTCCAATCAGAGAACTAAATTTGTACCACATGACCATGGTATTTTTCAGCGAAACTATGACCTAGGCAATTTGAACCCAGTGAGTGGGTGTTTTACCCGGGGCCATGGTATTCGACTTCGAATACCACGCTTGAGCGGGAAATTCGACTTTTTTAAATGTAAAGTTATCAAAAGTTGTGTTTTGAAATTAAAAGTTAATTGAATGGTATTTGTTTTCTACTTATTTTTGAAAGGTTCGGTATAATATACCATTTATAGACCTTTCACTCGGGGTATTCCACAAAAAATTACCCTGCGGGATGAAATATTCCTCGGGCTTTGCCCTCGGAATATTTCATCCCTCAGGGTAATTTTTTGTGGAATACCCCTCGTTTCAGATCTATAACTGATAAATATATACATATATATATATATATATATATATACATATATATATATATATATATATATATATATATATATATATATATATATATATATATATATATATATATATATATATATATATATATATAAAGAGAGACATAAACAACAAATTTCAATCTTAAAATTTTATTTCATTGCTACACAGTGTTTCACGTACAGTGTAAAGTGTTTCACGTACAGTGAAAAGTGTTTCACGTACAGTTTTCACGTACAGTGTTTCACGTACAGTGTTTTACACAGTGTTTCACGTATATCGCCTGATGATCGTACGCTGTACGTGAAACACTGTGTAGCGATGAAATAAAATTTTAAGATTGAAATTTGTTGTTTATGTCTCTTTTTATTTGCTCTACTGATTTATTGGTGTTGAGCACTCTAGTTCACTACACACAAATTCAATATTGAATATATATATATATATATATATATATATATATATATATATATATATATATATATATATATATATATATATATATATATATACTATATATATATATATATATATATATATATATATATATATATATATATATATATATATATATATATATATATATATATATATATATATATATATATACAATCTGCAGACATGCATGTGCACTTTATGCCTCATCAGTGCAGCTTGAGTGCGCATCTAGATATGTGATGACCACCATATTTATACTCATGAGCACCAGATAATATATGCACAGAGTGTCATGGGTAGGGTTATCACGAAAAACCTAAAGCAGGGGGGAGGTGTGGTAACGTTTTTGCTAGAACTATTAGTTACCATGCCTTTAATTTTCACAAGCATTCCCCTGGAACCCCCTACGGTTTGTTTTAGTAATGAGCGTTACTAAAAAAGATGATTTTCGTTAAACCACAATAATAACACTGATCATTTCATCAGGATTGTGACCGTCTCAAACTTCATGAAATGTTGGAATCTGAAACAATTACAGCGAGTGCGTTAAGATATAAGCTTCACAGGATGCCCACACAAGTTAAAGATGAAATTCAAGGTACGAATGAAGAACTGAGAAAATTCCTTTGTGTGACATATTCCTAATGTTCTTATTGTGAATGGCAGATAAGGAATGATTTGCATATGGCTAAGCTAGCTGGGTCTCATACCAATACCATGAAAATTTCTAATTCAAAATGTGTTTTAATATTCTCTTGAGCCAAAACTTTCAGTGTTACTATAACATATAATATATATATACAGTATATTTCAAAAACTCATTAATAATTCATGAGGATAACACAAAGAAAAATATTAAATTTTCTGGCATTTGAAAACCAAGTTCTGCCATTTGAAAAGGGAGTTCTGGGCATTTGTAAAGGGAGTTCTGGCATTTGAAAACGGAGTTCTGGCGTTTGAAATAGTAGCCTACTTCTGGCATTTGAAAACCAAGTTCTGCCAAGTTCTACCATTTGTAAAGGGAGTTCTGGCATTTGAAAAGGGAGTTCTGGCATTTGAAAAGGGAGTTCTGGCATTTGAAAACGGAGTTCTGGCATTTGAAAAGGGAGTTCTGGCATTTGAAAACGGAGTTCTGGCGTTTGAAATAGTAGCCTACTTCTGGCATTTGAAAACCAAGTTCTGCCAAGTTCTACCATTTGTAAAGGGAGTTCTGGCATTTGAAAAGGGAGTTCTGGCATTTGAAAAGGGAGTTCTGGAATTTGAAAAGGGAGTTCTGGCATTTGAAAAGGGATTTTAGCATTTGAAAAAGGAATTCTGGCATTTGAAAAAGGAATTCTGGCATTGAAAAGGGAGTTTTGGCATTTGAAAAAGGAGTTCTGGCATTTGAAAAAGGAATTCTGGAATTTGAAAAGGGAGTTTTGGCATTTGAAAAGGGAGTTTTGGCATTTGAAAAGGGAGTTTTGGCATTTGAAGAGGGAGTTCTTGCGTTTAGTATGTGCCCCTCTATTCGTAGTTCGCTGAGAAATCCGGGATAACAAAGTAGAATTTATATTAAAATCCAGATACGCTGATTATAAATACGGATAAGGAATGTTTGGCATACCGCTTTTAAGTACTGTGGCTGTTACAGTAAAGGACATTGGCAATAAATATTAGTTTGTTTCATTCATTCAAAAGAACTCTTAAAATTATATATTATACTCTATTACCGATTTGTCATATCTTGCTTAGTTCTCGAAATATTTAGACCAAAATTAATGAGCTGTCCGTGATCTTAGACTAATTCTTGACCTCATTAACTATGGTTTAGATGACGTCAGGAGTTGGGTTAACCCTATAAAGCTACTCTAAAATGATCGACTAACAATCCAAAGTTGTTTGAAAGGTTTTTAATCATTCAGAAACGAAGTTTTGGACCCATATTGATCACTTAATTTCAAGATAAGAAATTAGCGTGACCCCTCTCTTGACGTAACATGCATATCCTCAATAATCGAAGATGGCGAACAGCTCAATTTTTTCAGTCGAAATATTTTGAAAACTAAGCAAGATATTAGCAATCTGTAACAGAGTTTAATATGTAGTTTTAAGAGTTCTTTCAAATGAACTAAACTAATTTTTTTGTTGCCAATGTCCTTTAACAAATTTGTATTCTTAATTTAAGATGCAGTTCTTGCTGCGCGCGATTCGAACGAAGCAGAGATTCAAAGATTAAAGGTAAAATAAGAAAAATGTAATCTTGATGCATTAAAATATCTTTGGGGAAACGTTTCGTTTCGTTCAATCTTCTAGGATAATCTGAATGGCATAAATTCAAATATTGAAGAACTAGAAGCCAGAAATAAAGAATTACTCAGCGATAATGATAGATTGGAGTAAGTGAAAATCATGTAATTATGAAATGAAAACTGAGAATTGACTGTGAGGTCCCCCCCCCCCCATTTCTGATTCGTAACTAGTTGTCAATAAGTACATATATGAGCAGTGGACTGAGGAGTATTATTTCCCATCATGCATCATTTAGGGATTGGTTGTAAGTCAGCCCCTATCTTGATTCTTTTGCCACGCCCTTTTTGAAGTCTTGCGAAACTTATTTGTGATGGTTTTTTGTTTGTTAGACCAGAAAGAAATGATGCATTGAATGAACATGACGCTGTTGTAGCTTTGTTGAATCAAAAAATGGCTGATAAAGCAAGGTGAATTCAAGAAATGTTTTGGGTGTATATTTATATTATATTGAGTTATTAGTATATTATAAGGCAGTGTACACCTTATTCCAAGGCCGGATTTTGGTGGAGATAGTGGGGGAGGTGGAAAAAAGGTGACGTTTTCATGTAATGTACATATGTATCGGTGTATTAATGAATTATGACTGTGCAGCTCATCCAATTTTGCCCTTCATTACAATTACTACAAAGTTTCTTTCAAAACATTGCATTAAAAGGGTACTTGGCACAGAGATGAATGGCTATCACTGTTTCAATTTTACAGAAAAAATTTCTTACGAAGTGTAGACCCTAAGCAACCAAAAAATGTCAAATTTTGACTTTGATCTATCATAATGATTGAAACTTTTCCAAAGGAAGTGCATGATCGACTTTTCAGGGGAGGTGCAAGCATTCTCAGGGGAGATGCAAAACGATCTCAGGGGAGGTGTGCACCTCCCCACCCCCCCCCCAAAAAAAAATCCGGCTATGTCCTTAGTCCTATAACTATATCTGTTGCATAGACTCTATATGGGACATTGTCTATACTAATGTGGTGCAAATGTACTACTATTTTGTTTTGTTTTGTTTTTCACAGCAAACAAATTACACTAAATGAAACGAGAGATACCTTACGAGAAACATACAAAATGGTAAGTGACACACTTGAGTTGCTTTTCAGTGTTCCCAGACCGATATTCTACAACGAAAATTATGTATGGGATGGCTTGCGCGCTTCGATATAGAATACAAATACCGGTATTGTATTCTGCAATGGACAGTTATGGTGAATGAGATAGTCGTACTACCTGAAAAAAAATATTAAGCAAAACTCCAACGTCTCGAGGGAAAGCCCATCGTTCGGATATTTTGAATGACAATTTCATTATTGACTGTTTTTCGATATATATTCGAATATTAGGGAGTTTAAGCTTTGCGTTTCCGGGAACGGAAAACGGAATGTTCGAAGTTTCTTCGCAAAATTTTTGTTGAACGTTTTCGTTTCATATTTTCTTTCTTGCGTCTTTGCCTGGCGTTTGCCGTTTGCCCTATAACGCGAAGCTTAAACTCTCTATTGTGCCTTTCTCTATGGTGCATGTCTCAAGAGTAGTATACTACATTTTTCTATTTCTCTTCAGATAATCCAGTTAGAAGAATCAATTGTTCAGTTGAAAGAAGATCTGGCTTTGGAACGAGAGGAAGCTATTGAGGAAAAAGAAAGATTACAGAAAGCTGTGGTAGGTTTGAAGATGTTTTACAATTTCTCCAGTGGTGTCACCTCGTCTTGTGCAATGCAAACGTCTATAAATACTATTTAAAAAACTCATTAATAATTTATGAGGAAAACACAAAGAAAAATCATAAGCGTGTCCGGGGAGAATAGGTTTTCGGATCGTCGGATTTCACAGAAAAAGTTGTTCGGATTTCGGATCTGGCGAATATTTTACACGGATTCGTGGATCTTATTAATACAGCGGATTGCGGATTTATCTAATATTTTGGCTCGGATTGTAGATTTTGCTTGCAATTTAGTTCGGATCCTGGATTGTGACTTCATAGCAGAGCTTTTAGCGGATTCCAATTTAGACAAGACCATTGTCGGATCGCGGATTTTGCCTCAAATTTGGGCGGATCGACGGATTTGTATACCCCTATTCAACCCCCCCCCCCTCCGTGTCCTATCTTTATATGTGACAGAGATTTCCCTTGATTTCCATAAACTTTAACTTTGATTTTCTCAACTTACACAACGTATTCTTTGAAAATTACTTCGTCGAGAGTTTTATATATGATAAAGCCATGGATATCTTATATACACTAGATAGTGCATCTAATTATTATGCAATTCAAAAATTGAAGCCGTGATTGCAGTCTCAAGGTATTCCCATGAAATGAGAAGACTCGTATGTTTTCTATTTCTTAAAACAGGGAATTTAAACATTAAGTTAAACCTATTCCAAATACATTTTTTAAACTATTCAAATGATGAAAGTTATTGTTGTTTTTAAGCGTTTATTAGCGAGTGGGAAACATCAACAGGCCGCCATCTATTCAAATGGGGGGTAACCGCTGGAATATTCTAGGCTTCAATTTTACTAAACGAGATGCGCTATCTAGTGTATATAAGATATCTATGGATAAAGCACGTACGACCAGTATTTTAAATGGCTTAAAAAACGACCCATCTTATGAGTTTATTGGCGAAGTAATTTTAAAAATAAACATTGTCTAAGCCGAGAAAATCAAAGCTAAAGTTTACATTATTTTTTATCAGACATTAAACCACTGACATGGTTGTGATTTTTTTGTCTTTGTTCATCAATTATTAATGAATAAACTTTTTGATATAGATTAATTAAGACAAATATGATAGCGATAATAAATTTATTAACGAACGACGTTTCGAAATCATCTTTACCTCATTTTCAAGTTCAAAATATTACAGAAAACTATTCCGCTATATTCATATTAATTTAATCGTTTTCTGTAATAATTTGAACTTGAAAATGAGGTCAAGATGACTTCGAAACGCGTCGTTCTTTAGTAAATTTGTTATAATTGCTATCATATTTGTCTAAATAGAGTTTCTATATCGAGTTTCAACGTCCAAGTGGAGAAAAAATCTTTCAAAGTTCTAAAATTTACTCTCAATTATTTCAGGAAGACACTCGCGTAAAAGTGCAGGACCAAAAGAAGGCGAACGCAGAGCAGAGACGGTAAATAACACACAAGAACGTTTAACATTCAAAAACATGTATTACTTTTGCATCGCATAACCATGCATACTGATTTTAACTCAGCGGTGACGACGGCTCTACGAACACTGACACTAAATGTTTAATTTTTAATCTTTTAGTGAAATAGAAAAATTGCAGGAAGAACTTGTGGATAGCGAGGCGTTTTTGGACGGAAAACGAAAGATCATTCGTCGTTTTGAAACATCCAAAGCTAGACTCGAGGCGCAAGTTGTTCAGTTGAGTCGACAACTTCAGAAATCAATCAAGTCCAACTCGCTTCTTACACAAGATGGGTGAGTGGAACTTATTGAATGACAAGTTAACTGGAAAGAGCAACAGACTTCACAGAACCGTCAGAAACAAATTGTTATTGGGGAATGGGGGGGGGGGCTCAACCAAGGGGGATCTGGGGGCATGCAGAAATTTAAGATTTGGTAATTAACAAGGCAATAAGGCGAAAAAGCCGGAAAAGCCCCATAATAGCGCCCGCTACGCATGCTAGATTAACACGAGTGGAAATTGAGAAAACGAGAAAATGTGTGGAAACACGACGCCCGGAGGGCGGAGTGTTTTCACACAATTTCGAGTTTTCCCAAAAATGTTTTATGTACTATTTGAAGCACGCGTAGGAGTGTTTTTATCACATATAAAACACGACGCGTAGCGGAGTGTTTTATATGTGATAAAACACTCTTACAAGTGCTTTAAATGGCTTAAAAAACGACTCATCTTATACGAGTTCATTGGCGAAGTAATTTTTAAAATAAACTTTGTCTAAACCGAGAAAATCAAAGCTAAAGTTTATGTAAATTAACATGATTTTTTATCACATATAAAACCACGACACGTTTATGATTTTTCTTTGTGTTTTGCTCCTGAATTATTAATGAGTTTTTAATTTGTTTTATAATACAGCACAAAGAAATATAATGAAAGAAATTTTCCATATTGACATTGAGTTATGTTAACACGGCTCTTAGCCAACCAGCCAATCGCACGGGAAAAAATCAGTTGAAAATCCATAGAAGGTTATAGAATGGAAATTGTATGGACCTTTATTGGAAATAGAATGGATTTTGTTTATCCATAATAATTGTATATTTCCATAGTACGGATATAGTGTGGAAATAGTATGGACATACCATGGATATAGTGGTGCAATTGCAAATCTCATAGTATGGATTTCACTTTTGTTTTCCAGTGTCAGCTTACCCGGTGTGGATGCACACTCAGAGTAACATCACAAACATCATATTCACTTGAGTACATAACACCAACACACATAAAAAGTTTACGGATAAGTTGATTGTAATTGCCTGCTAAAAAAGAAAGAAAGTACGGAAAGAAGTTATTGAGGAAATTATTGGGTGGGGGGTGGGGGGGAGGGAGGGCTTCTGACGGCCCTGCTTCATCAGCACAAATGTTGTCAATACTTTTCACTTTTTTATCGCCCTTACCTAGAATGAGAGTTATGAAATCCCATCAAGAAATGCTGACAAACTTAGGAAGGTTGAAAGCCGAGCTTGAGCAGGAATCTAGAACGGTAAACCTCATCAACTCTTTGTGAAATTATGGCTGTGTATATTCGCCGATAACTCAGTAACTTCTGTTTTCAAAAACTGAACTGAATTTTTTAGTTGGAAAGTACTTTGGCGAGTGCAAAAACGGAAAATACAAAATTGAATTTGAAGAAAGAAACGTTGGATGAAGGTATGCGATTTTAGTAAACCTTGGAGGTTGACAAGTTTTTCATTGCTGGAACTGTCTACATTTTCAATAATATAATATGTAATATAATATTATTATAATACAGAACATTTTTACTTTAGATTTCGAGATTATTTCAGCGGAATGTGAGACATTGAGAGA